GAGAGCCGCTGTTTGGCAGAAAGGCCTGCAGAAGACAGGCAAGTGCTGCAGTTGCAGTTCAAGGTATTCGCAGACACCAGCTGCCAGGTGTGGATTGTTGGAAGTGGCGCAGCATCGTGAAGCCTGTTGCATTGAAACAGTTAAGCTGTTTTGATACCTGTACTGTTTTAACACATGATGTGACCTGCTCTGTATTTTAAAAAATTGTACTATGTCTCGTTCCAATAAACCCTATTTACCAAAGTACTGTTCTTTTGTTTATTATGATGTTTTTTTGTCAGTCAAATCATAGAAGCGACCTTATAGTTGCAACATTGCAATCAGAGTTGAAATCAATTCCCTATGTGACATAATTGCCACAATTGTGGCTCCAGTGCTACTTAAAGGAGCACCAGAACCTGTACCTGTGAGCAGCACCAGAACTTTACAATTTTCACCAAATATAATGTGCTCACGAAGACAAACCGGCAGCTTTGAAAATCCAAGATTCAATAACGGTGTTGAATTTCAACCCCAGCAAACATTTATTGAAGTTCCATGATTATGGTTGGGGTTAAATAATCGGACCTTGTCTAAAGTTAGTTGCATTTCATAGATTAGTTTACTTGTAATGATGCAAGAGTGTCATGGGCAAATAAAATTTAATTCAATAAAATTCTTCTTGTCTTGAAAAACACTAGATGGAATTATACATTATTAACCTTACTCAATAACAATATTACTCATTAGAACATTCAAAACACTATCACAGATAAACATATCCAACACCAAACTCCACAATAATACTGTCATTACTTTCAACAAACTTTGATTGACTTAGATGTTTGGTCTGTATTGAAAATTATGTCTACAAAATCAACTCTTTACCGGATAGGATCCCTCCCCCCTTATCATTCTGTATGTACATGCATTGATATGAACAGGCAGGATAATAATGATGGCACTAGAGATCTAGGCAACAAACTTGAAAACAAAGTGTTCAAAAGTTGCACCTCAAGGCAATGAGCAGCACAGCACTTCTGATTGGTTTTAATTCCTCTAACTAGTTCTCCTGCATCAGAAAATGATTAGACACACCTCGAATTATATTAGCTTTAACTATTTTCTAAGAATGTGATAATTATAAACATGTCTTAAAACCTAATTATAGAATACATTACACATGTTTTTGATGTAACTCGGAAGATAAAACTTGAAGCAAGACCACTTGGACCATATGCCAAATGTGATTTATGGAGCTTGGAAAGAATAGTCCATTCACCTTGATGCAGGAACACAATTTAGTGTAGGCTAAGAAACGAGTTACTGAAATACTTTTCTTTCTAGCATAACATGCACATACACTTGCGTATAATTGAAAAATATTAACGAAGGCTAAAGACTACCAGCACAAAACTGCTTATAGAAACCAGAGAACACTACAAACATTATTCTGAATCAGAATCATTGCCAGGGCGAACAAGCAGGCCATAGTTGACAGCAGCTACTACAGCATAAGATGCTTGGTGAAGGAACTCTCCAGGGGTCTTCTGTCCAGTAAGGAGGAGGTTTGTTGCTCTTTGTATGTTCTCATCATTTAATACTGCAGTCCACCTTCTGGCACGGGTGACTTGACGAAGATTGTCCACTGCTATCTTGTCGCAAAAGGCAAGATACTCAAGCTTAACAAAACTCCCTAAAACAAAGACATGTGTAAGCCTTAGTAAGCAATTTTGCAAAACAACCAATTACTTCGATATTTCAAGGTAAGAAATTTACCTGTTAGATGCCACACATTGGGCCTCTGTTGGGGAATAAGGTTTCCAAGGCTCTTATTGTCAGATTCACTGCAATTGTTAGTGCGTTCAGGTGCATTGAAACAAGACAACTCCCGCATCCTTGGCTTCCATTCTCTTTCAAGGTATTGAAAGACGGGAAGAAATAGATTGTACATTCCTGCATCAACAACTTCTTGCCATATCTGGAGGACACCAGTCCACATCATCTCATGAGGTAACAGGGGCATCCCCGCAAGGCATCTAATAAATTCAAGAACTAGGTCATTTTCCTCTGCCCATTGTTGAAGGCCTAGGAGCCTGCAATGTCTGCTGAATGCCTGGAAAAATTTTGATTTCACATATAAGAGACTACCTGTGCCAATAAAGTCAAATCAAACAGGTGGTGAGGTGTGGGTGAAAAAGCTGAAGCACCTGGCTAAAGGAATAAAGAATACTTTGAATTAAAATTTTGATGTCTTAAGAATGTAATTGGCAGCAAGTTTCTTTTGTGGTCACATTTCAACCACTAGACCTAAAATTTACGAACATAACTCATATTAGGGTCAGCGCGGGGAAGAACTGGACGGGGTGCATGATAGTTCTTAAGCCTGTGCAAACGGCATTTGAAGTAAATTAAGGGGTGTTCAATTCTTCCCCTGAACAGTTTAGCCCTGCACTGACACTACAAGTTTCTGAGTTATGGAGGGAAAGGTACCCAGTCTTCAAACACTAGCAATTGGAGCTACAAAGACACAGGAGGAAAATAGTGTTGGCGCATTTAGTAATGTTAGCCCAGTATAGGCTGTAAAAGCTAATTCACGAGGCTCCTTTTTAAACTACTACTACTATGATAGAAACTGTTAAAAAGAGATATTGGACACAATTGAACTTCCTACGTTGTTACTTGGAAAATTGAAGACATCTTTCACCCACACCTCATCATCTCATTGTACTCACAACAGCAAAATGCCACAGACAGCCAACAATTCTCCTTCGAGGGAAGATTCTGCGGAAGGCATTCATCATAGCACGTTCGAAGTCACTGTGAATGCGCACAGGGTTCCAACCCGGAGCCAGAGTCTTCAAATGACTAAGAACTTGAAAATATGCCTCTTCAGTTCGAGACATCATTAGAACTCTGGCTACTGCTATCACCTAATACAAATGAGAAATAAAACATGACAGTCAGACCCTTGAATAGCCCTCGTTGAAGATTCTTTTAAAGCCATAGAACTTGTAATGGGCATACTTACAACACCTCCATAGTTCGTGACTATGTTGAATATTTGAGACATTTTGGGTTTCTTTGATCTCTTCTTGAAAGTGCCATCTGCATGAACATTTTCAAGAGTATTCATGAACCTTAGCATACGCCCAGACGCAAAGATAAGAGCTATTGATCTGTTATCAGTGCAACCCACTACTCCTTGAAATATGTAATCAACTCCATCGACAGTTTTACAGAGAGGTCGCATGTTTGGAAGCCCTAACAACACACCAAGATAAATTAAAGTCTTTGGAATTCTAGGGTAGTTTCTGCTTCTTGCACTGTACAATGCAGAGTGCATCCGCACAGTTGTAAATCTGCTTGCCAGGAAAGGATTGCCAGCTCTGAAAAAGGAAAGAAAAGCTCAATTAGTGTAAAAACATTGGACATTGAATTTACAAACTTGAAACAACTGAGGCATTACCTTATTTTAAAATCATCCAGAATAGATCTTAGTTTCCTGCCAAACACGTTCGTCTCTGCTTCTCTAATCATCGCTCGCCTCATTTCAAAATCTTGGGAGAGAAGTGGGTCTGCGACATGATTGTGGGGTTGCAGATGATGGAGGAGGCCTGAATTCAGCGACACTCGAGCAGTGCCGGGGCATCCATGAAATCGCCGCCCATAGTGTCGGCATTGCAGTCGCACGCGATCTCCTCGACGCTCCCGAAAATTGTAATGGAATCCGTCACCACCATGTATTATTAAAGAGTCACGTTGTCTTCCTGGGAAAACCTGAACTGGCAAGCCTTCCATTGTTGACTTGAAGGGCTACCATTGAGCCAAAGCCTCAGCACAAAAAATTGATGTCTCCATCCTCAGTACAGTAGAAAGTCTGAAAGAATCAGAATCTAATTCAGTGAAGAAGGCTCAGGTCTTGACTCCAAGCACTATGCAGAAACTAAAGGCCATACAGATACTTACAAACTCAAATAGTCCGTCGATTGCTAAGCAGATAACAAGTTTGCCGCGACAGTCACACTGAATATTCCTCATGTTCGAGAAGTTTGAGATTTGTACAGCGTCAGCGTCATTCACCTTCTCACTTTGCCATGGCCTAGGGTTAAGGAGGTTAAGGATCGGCTAGAAAGAGCGGTTTCCGGTTTCGGGCAGTTCGGGCACCGGGCAGCGAGCGAACAGTGAGACAGGAATCACTTTGGTTCACATCCACATCCGCCCTATGAGGATCACTAAGCTGTCGCAATGGAACACACCCCCTGTGGTTTTTTTTTAGATCATAGACAATCAGCGAATCAACTAGGTGTTTTCTGTTTTCTTGAATATTACTGATGGACAGTACATGCGTGGACATGTTTAGGTTGTTCGACGAGTCGACGACAAGAGCAAGATTACATCGATGTATCGAATCTTGGCGCAGCCGATTCGATATTTCTATCGATAGTCATACCACTTCCGGAATTTTCCGGATGGGCCGGAAGCCGGAACTCCTTGCCTACCCTTGCCCATTCTGAGATCTCGCCTGCTGGAGGTAAGTCGTTCTGTGTCTTTGCTCTGTAGTCTTTTATCCAATGTGTGCGGAAGAATCTTGAATCGGACCTTTTATGTTCGACACAAGCTAGCACGTACAGCGGCCCTGCAACTAATTTATCGCTGTATTTAATTCTCTGGACGTTCTGTTCTGGTGCCGGTATTGTCGGCAGGTGGGTGTCCCATGATCGTGATGGTAATTTGGGACGCTGTACCGTAGAATCCTATTATTCACTTTACGTTGGTTTAACGCCTGTCTGCTTAGTGGCGGCCCGTTTACTTTAACCCCTTCCTATCGCACTTTTCGCGATCTCGTGTCCGTTTGGACATGTGGATTTGCTTTTTAGAAAGCGAAAGTAGTTCTCGTGAAGGAGTATGTTTCCCCTCCGGCTAGGATTCCCAGCAAGCTTGTTATGTCATTTGACCACATTTATTTGTTCTCCTCGCACTTGTTTACTTGTTTTGAAAGGAAACTGTTCTGTTGCTCAATGCTGAGTAAGTGGAAGCCACGTATTTCTATGCGCACGAGTGGGCGTTGTGATCCTTAACCTCAACCCGCGCCATTTTGATAGGCATGCCGGCGTGCACAACGTGAACGTAGTGGAACCTTGGGCTTAATGGATTAGTTGCTTGATTGAGGGATTATTTGTTCTTTTTTAACTGCAGTACACCTGGGAATATTTTGGTGTCTGTTCTTTTGATGGTCATCGTGCCCGTTGTATCATGTATTTTAAGGAGTATCTCAGATTGCTAGGTGGTTGGCTTGGAGGCATTAGCAATGCTCATTCTTGTGACTGAATGAATAACATTAGGACGAAAGTGTCATTCGAGACACCCAATGTGCTGGGCTTGAAAATGTCACTTATAAGTTAACCTTTTGTTAATATTATGAATTTTTAATTTCTGAGGATGTGAAGTACAACTAAGCCCCGGTTAGATCTTGTCGTTCTTCATTCAGCCGTATTTAGAAGTGTTTTGGTGTAATGTTTAACGTTTTGTTGCTTTACAGGATGGACGTCAACTTGCTTCGTCAGCGCCGCCTGGAGGCTTTAGCTGCAGCTGCCGCCGCTGCTGCAGCAGCTGCGCAGGCACAACAGCAGCAGCTTATTGAAGGTAAGGGAACACAATTTTGATTTGACCAATTTTCCTCCAATCTGTTAAATTATTTGTAACTAAATGTGCCTTCTCATTTAACTGTCTGTTCCAACAACTTATTAAGTTTGAAGATCTCAGCTGTTTTGTTCAGAACCATTCAATATGAGTGATCTTTATGCTTAATTGTGTCTCCCTTCACAGTTGATGTGCCTGATGCCGTGAATGCTGGACCTGCAGAGAATTTAGAAGCAGCTATCGCTGAGCCACCTGCAGTCAATGTCAATGCTGGGCCTGCAGTCAATTTAGAGGCAGCCATCGTTGAGCCACCTGCAGTCCATGCTCATGCTGGGCCGGCACCTGATATAGCAGCAGCCATCCCAGAGCCTCCGGCAGTCCATGCCCATGCAGGGCCTGCAGCTCACAATGGTGGAGCTTTTGCCCATCCACCCTCAGCCATGGCTTTGCTTCCTTCAGGTACGTTAACTTCCACGTCTCTTTCTCAAGTCTGATTATTGTCACTTTGTTTGGAGTGCACCATTACTCAATTAGTTACGACTTTTAAAAAAGTATTTTAATTTTTGTTATTTCTCCTAACCACTTACTTAAGTATTGCATTCATGTGATTCCTATCTTGATTGATCCGTCGAGAAATAAATTAGGAAGATAACATCTCAATATTTTGAACCTTCAAAACACCATTTATGTGTGGCTGCTACACTTGCTGAAAACAGAAATGAATCGGAAAGATAATCTTTTAATTTGCTCTTTTCAGCTGCTGCCCCAGCTGCTGTCCCAGCTACAGTCAACATGGTTTGCATCAGAGCTGAAGGTGTGTACACTGTAAACCTCCTTTTCATGTTATATTTTTCTTTATTTTAACAAGTCTTATGACGTTCAATTTCTGGGAAGTATGTGATCTATGGATCACGAGTATTCTTTGGGCATGACTCTTCTCACAATTTGTATTTTCTGTTTTGACATGGTTCTTCTCTTTGTTGCAGATCTCATGGCTTTTTTTCAAAACTCTTTCAACAAACTTAATGGAAGCCGTGGTACTGCTATACAAGAAATTCATGAAGAGACAGTCACACAGGCCGCCTTCCAGCAAGTAGTACCAACTAAGCAGAATGACCCCAAGCCAGTTGCAGAGACACAGAGTGGCTTCAAGCAAGAGGCAGTGCAGCAGCCAGTGGCAGTTATTCAGACCGTCTCGCAAGAAGTGGCAGTGAAGACTGACTTGCAAGATCTTAACAAAACTTGCTTTCAAGACGATGGGCCAGATGTATTAATCATGAATTCTCCGACCCCAAACTGCAGCTCCACGGAAAGATTACGTAGATCACCCAGATCACCCAGATCACCCACTCCAGACTACAGCTGGATGTTTGAAGAAGACCCGGCTCCTTTTATAGAGACTGTGAGATCAAGATCTCCCTCCCCACCCTTGAACAGTGTTTCCTCTATGGGAACATCAAAGGTGTGGGAATCCCTCAATGCAGCCAAGAGGGCCTGCTCTGCCGCTGAGTCTAAGAAGTCAGCATCTCCATCTTGGAAGTCTGGCTCCAGGAAGAACTCCACTTCTCCTGTGGCTTCTAGAAGCAGGTCATTGTCCCGTTCTCCCACCTCATACTGTCATTCTTTCATGAAGCGTTCTAGAAGTAGGTCATCCTCTCTTCATCGGAATTTCTCTTCGAAGAGGGCATCTAGGACCCCCTCTCCTGAGTCCTCCCACAAGTCAAGAAAATCTTCTAAACGGTCACCTGCAGCGTGGTACTCCAACTCTTGGAAATTGAGGAGCCCATCACCCAGCACAAAGCCTTCTGCTGCGGCTTCGAAGAGGGCATCTAGGACCCCCTCTCCTGAGTCCCACAAGTCAAGAAAATCTTCTAAACGGTCACCTGCAGCGTGGTACTCCAACTCTTGGAAATTGAGGAGCCCATCACCCAGCACAAAGCCTTCTGCTGCGGCTTCGAAGAGGGCATCTAGGACCCCCTCTCCTGAGTCCCACAAATCAAGAAAATCTTCTAAACAGTCACCTGCAGCGTGGTACTCCAACTTTGGAAGATCGAGGAGCCCATCAACTAGCAAGAAGGTTTCTGCTGCAGCTTCGAAGAGGGCATCCAGGACCCCCTCCCCTTCTGAGTCTCACAAATCAAGAAAATCTTCTAAACAGTCACCTGCAGCGTGGTACTCCAACTTTGGAAGATCGAGGAGTCCATCAACTAGCAAGAAGGTTTCTGCTGCAGCTTCGAAGAGGGCATCCAGGACCCCCTCCCCTTCTGAGTCTCACAAATCAAGAAAATCTTCTAAACAGTCACCTGCAGCGTGGTACTCCAACTTTGGAAGATCGAGGAGCCCATCAACTAGCAAGAAGGTTTCTGCTGCAGCTTCGAAGAGGGCATCCAGGACCCCCTCCCCTTCTGAGTCTCACAAATCAAGAAAATCTTCTTCTAAACGGTCACCTCATGCTGCGTGGTACTTCAACTCTGGGAGATCAAGGAGCCCATCTCCTACCTCCTCCCGTTCTAATTTTAGACATTCCTCCTCAAGGAGATCGAGATCTCCATCTCCCCAGTTGAAATTGAACAGCAATCCAGGCTCCTCCTTTAGATCAGCGAGAGCCTCCACTTCCAGGAGATCCCAGTCTCCTCCCTGGTCTCAAACAGCTGTCAACTCCAGGAGGCTGTCGCCTGATTTTAAATTCTCCGATCTCCCATCTTCTGATGACCGGGCAGATCCAGACTTTGCTCCGACCAAGAAGCCAAAAGCCTCTGGCAAGGGCCCTGCTAAAAGGAGGGGAAGACCTCCCACCAACAAAACAGAAAGCAAGTCTGAAGGTGTGCTCTGTGCAATTTGCAAGGAGACATCGAAGGGGAAGTTTTCGAATACGAAGTGTGGGCATGTATTTCACCCTCCATGCCTGCAAGGGTGGATCACCTCAAAGAACCAAATCGATCTCCCTATGAAAACCTGCCCAACGTGCCGAAGTAATTTCGATATGAAGGATGTTAACCCCGTGTACTTTTAGAAACAGCTTTTCAGTTTGAGGTGTCTGCTCTGCCTTAGCGTTATTATCATATCTTCACTCCTTTAATATGGTCAAGATTTGTCACTGGGCCACGCTGATCATTTCTGCCCCTGCAGTTTTTTTTTACTCTTTGTTTTATGTTACGTATTGATTCTTTGATCTCTTTAGAACTTGCACCCTTTTGTTTTGTAACAAAGTTTCATTTCAAGACTGACTTTAATGCTTTGCTCGATAACTTATATAATATAACAGCGTTTCAGTTTGAGGTGTCTGCTCTGCCTAGTGTTATTATCATATGTTCACTCCTTTAATGTGGTCAAGATTTGTCACCCGACCACATTAATCATTTCTTTCCCTGTAGTTTTTTTTACTCTTTGTTTCATTTTAAGAATTGATTCTTTGATCTCTTTAGAACTAGCACTCTCTTGTTTTGTAACTAAGTTTCATTTCAAGACTGACTTTAATGCTTTGCTTGATAACTTATATAATATAACAGCGTTTCAGTTCGAGGTGTCTGCTCTGCCTAGTGTTATTATCACATGTTCACTCCTTTAATATGGTCAAGATTTGTCACTGGACCACATTAATCATTTCTTTCCCTGTAGTCTTTTTTACTCTTTGTTTCATTTTAAGAATTGATTTTTTGATCTCTTTAGAACTAGCACCCTCTTGTTTTGTAACAAAGTTTCATTTCAAGACTGACTTTAATGCTTTGCACGATAAATTACATATTATAACAGCTTTTCAGTTTGAGGTGTCTGCTCTGCTTTAGCGTTATCATATGTTCACTCCTTTAATGTGGTCAAGATTTGTCACTGGACCACATGAATAATTTCTACTACTGTAGTTGTACTTTGTTTCATTTTAAGTATTGATTGATACTTTAAGTTTGTATTACTCCTTGATCTCTTTGGAGATCAAACTTCCACCCACTTGAATTGTAACTGTTCTTCTTGACTAACTTAAAGCATCTTATGGGTAGATAGTGCTTTGTATGTTTCTTCTTATTGTTTACTCTTTTAATAAATGTTTGATTCTCATTTGAATGTCGTACCACCTTTGCCTCCACCTGTCCCCCTCAATTGGATGGATGTCACTTGAAAACAAATGTCTGGTGATCACTGATAGGATACTTTCTCCAAAGCCATAATCTTTTTTTCGTTTGCATTGTTTTCTTTATTCACCTCTTACATGCCTTCATTTTCATTCGCATGTTGTGCTTTGTGTCAGAGCAACAACTTTGACATCTGTTGCATTACTTGCCACACGAGGTTGCCTTCATTCACAATTACATAATGTCACTACTATTGGTCTGGAGGCGTTCATAATCATGTGAATATGAACTATTCTAATATCAAACAGTGGCCGTAGCCTTGGAGACACAAAGAGAGAAGCCACTGCACTACTAGAAGCTGTCACCGAAAGGTCTTAAACCAGTCTGCTCAGAAGGGAACAATGTTGGTAATACACCTGTTCTGGAGAAGATTCTGCATAATGTATATATGGGGTGGCAATACTGCAACCTGGAAAAGTCCACTTAGCCTGGGTTGCCACATTACAACCTGGTGGTTATCGTTCAGCTCTGATTGCATTTTTGCAACCTTGATACTTTTTAATATCTTTTGAATGCTTGTCTGAAATGACTCAATTTATAACTTCATAGTGGCTTGAATTTCATCTGTGTGTTAAGTGACATGTGGGAGGAAGGAAATAACGAAAATTGAAGACCGATAATTATTGACTTTAATGCACACACTTCTATATGCCAGCACTAATAATAACAAGTTGACTTTACAGTTAAAGAAGCTTGAAATTTGAATTGCGTGATAATTACATCTGTCAGAATTTGAGTTATCATATCACTAAATAAAGCACTCCCCATGGCAACGTTATCAAAAATTAACAATACTATTTTGATCCCGTTTCCAGTTACAGATTTCTAAATCATCCCAAAAACTTTTTAACAGCAGTATCATTTACACAATCAGGGTGTTTCAGGTATATGTGAGAGGCAACTGTCTTGTGATTTCCTTTGAATCTCTTTCTACACGCCTCTACAGGACAAATTAGATTACTTGGTTTATCTTCTGATTTATGCTGCTTCTTTGACGATGTTGGTTTAAGAGATGCAACAGCGTAAGAAGCAGCAGCATAGCAGGTTGTTGGAGGGATGATAAGGGACTGTTGAAAATGAACATCAGCATAGGATGTCCACATTGACCCATCCTTGTGGAATTGCAGTAGTTCCTGACGATGATCTCTTATCAGTTGAGTCACATCGAATTGTACTCTTTTTTCTCTGAATGCGTAAAAAAGTATAGTACAATATTAATACTACAGTAAATAGATCAAAATTTGCATACGTCATTCAAAGACAGCATTTTCTGGAAAAGATGCACTTTTGAATATACTTAAAGACATTGAACAATAAAAGTACGATTACAGTTTATATTTCTGTCAAGAAAACAGTCTGCATTCTTGGTGTGATGTTGCTTCAATGATTATTATTTATTCCCTTGTGTATTTTGAACCACCCTTTTTTATTATTAAAAGTTTTACAGGTGAAAACTTACATGCAATCACATCGGCCATGAGAAGCAACGGATCCAAATGGTAGCCAATAATAAGATCCAAAATTGCATGCTTCCGCTAAATTTGGTCCCATATTACCTCCAGTGTGGGCTGCATTTGGAGCGAACACTACAAACTCTCCCGGATGCTGGATAATCTGCACAAAAATGTTGAAACCAAACTTTATTATGATAAATAAATATTTCTAAAAAGTAAAATAGGAGTGCATGTATACCACTTTAAATTTGATGCTATGGTCAAGAAGCCACTGAGGGAAGACAATGTCTGTCTTGTGGGATAGCTGTTGAATGCAATCCTTCCCTGTCCAACTGAGTCCATAGGTAGTTAAGAGCAGAGACAACCTTGATACCTCTGATGGAGCAACCAAAATTCTAAAAAATGGAAAATAAGAAAATTTGTTACACAACAACGGACCTAAATCATTAGTCTCTTCATTTTGCAAAAGAAAGACAAAATGAGGAGGGTCACTTACATGAGTTTTGGATATCCAAAATGATTGTAGTTCACACTCCACAGTGACATGTCCTCAATATGTATGGGAAAGACACTGTGAAGTCCTCCTAAGTATATGAATGGGTAAGCAATTCCAGCAAAGTACTCAGGTATATCAGTTAGCATATTTAAGTGGCACAAATGTGCCAGAGCAAAGCTCTTAGTAGTATAAAGGTAATTTTCAGTATTCTCTTCAATACAATTGAAGTAGAGGGAACAGTTTTGCCCATCCCCATCTTGCTTCAAATTCTTGGGAACAAAAGAGTTCTCGTTATTTGCTGGGCTTTCAACACATTCACTTGCACTATTGTTTTCCTGCACGAAGTACTTCCTCTCTCTCATGTTCCTTTCAACCCTTATGCAAGAGAGTGAGGGATCGTGTTCAACCAACATTGACTGGCGCTCATGATAGTGTGTTTTGGTAGATTTGATGGTTTTAGTTGTCTTGGTTTCATTTACTGAAGCTTTTGATAAAATGCTGTCATAAAAATGAACTACTGCTTCTTTTGGCCCTCCTTCTTGAAGTGCTTGCATACTGAAACAATTTAGAAAAGTTGATATGCCATACATCTTTACTTTAGATTAAACATCATAAAGGATTGATGGTACACTTACCAGCAGTTGATCTGGGATGAGTCAAATGTTTTGGGATCCTTTACAGCTTTCTTGAATTCTCGACCGTCAAATTCAGATACTCTCCAGCTGTGCAGTTTCATAATACCCTGTGATCTCTTCTCGCAGGTGAGATGGAGACAAGCCAAGTATTTTGATGCGTTCGGAAACTTGCTCCAGAAGTCTTTCAGAGTACTTCCCGTTCCTTGCAGATGTTCAGGGATCTTTATCTGTAAAATTCCAGGAAAAAAATAAATAATTAGGAAGGCATTTAACTTGCGGGTGCAGATTTCCCTGAACCCTAGGCAGAAGGTATTTGGAAAGAAGTTTGTGGTTAGGGGCTGCTATCACCAAGAGCACCCCACCATCTCTTACACTTTTGAATAGCACTTTTAACACCACTATATAGGTCAACTAAAATGTGATGTCCAAGAATGAACATAATAATTACTTTCAGGAAAGAAAGATCTCACCTTAAATCCACCATCAAATCTGGCCTGATCGTTCTTGTTCATTATCTCGTCGCACAATAAATGCAGCCTGAAAAAACTACTTTCATCTAGTGTCTCTTCATGGACCTTAAAATGGTCATCGGTAAGTCCTTGGAATGGTTTGGTCTCTTTTGCCATCGTCGGAAGTCCTTTTCTTTTCAATGCTAATAAAGTGCTGGTTGCAAATGTACAACTAGAAATCAGCCGGCCGTTGCCTCGGTGAAAATCGATTTAAGAGATCGAAGCAGCTGCACCGAGGTTCGATATATCGATAATCTGCACGAACATGGCGGCTGGATGATGATACCATGAAGTAGGGAAGCTTGAAGAAAGTAATTAATTACTAAGATTAATAGTTCTTTTCCCGTTTCAGCTTTAATTTTAAGATGGCTTCATTTTCCGCGCCTTCCCGTTTTTCGAAACGAGAGCAGGATGAACCGCTTCCAGAGGACAGGAGAAGCAAGAGGTCCAAAAGTGAACACAGCAGGTACAAACATAACCAACAAACGCAGAGAGTTGTTCGGTAACATTTTAACTGTTTAAAATGTAACATTTGTAGGGCTACATTTCCGAGTTCTCCAAGACCAGTTTATCTGCAACCGTCACCAGCTCAGATGAGGAAGTTGTTTGATTATGACAATGTTTGTGCACACCAGTTCATGGGTGTACCTTTAAGAGAGTGTCGAAGTCTAGAACCAGACGAAGAACCTGGTAAGTTTTGTCCTGTCACATTCAACAAAGACTTGTTGCCAATTTTTTCTTTGAATACTGGACTGAAGTAAAGTACGTTATTAATCTGTGCAGGTGAAAAGG